TTGTTATTATTATTTTTTAATTTGACAAGAGAAGGAGAGAGAAATATATAAAGAGAGAGAAAGTGAGAGAGCAAACCCCAAGTCCGAGACTTGAACTGTAGTTAGCCATGTGGGAGTCCAGCATCTTAACCACCATACCACCTGCTGGCCCCAAAATGTCTTTTTCTAATCAAACTTAAGAAATAAGGATTTAGGGTCAGCAGGTGGCATGGTGGTTAGGACGCTGGACTCCCACATGGCTGACCACAGTTTGAGTTCTAGACCTGGTAGCTTGTTCTCTCTCTCTCTCTGGTGAGTGCACATGCCCTATAGAAAATTAAAACAAAATAATAATAAATTTAAAAAAAGATATAAGTACTTAGTATTTATAGCCATGATGCTGTACTGTAATTAATAAATAAATAAATATATAAATAAATACATGTCAATGCTTTCTTTAAAAGAAAGTACTTCCTAGCAAAGTACAGATATATTACTTACAACAAAATTTTAAATATTTGCATAATAATATTAGGCAGTTAGAATGTCAAAAATATTATTATTTAAAAAAAATTTTTTTTTTTGCCATAGGGCACCTGCACTTACTGGAGAGAAACAGTGAAAAGGAAAGTGAGAAATCACCCCCCAGGGGTGGCGATGCCACAGTCTCTTTTCTTCCTTTCTCCCCTTGGGAGCTTGGGCATGCACACACAAGCACCTAGCGTGAGGTTCAAGCCACTGGATCTGGAACTTGAATCATGGTTGGTCATGTGGGAATCCAGCACCTAGGAAACTATGCCACCTGCTGGCCTCCAAAAGCTTTATTATTTATGCTTCCTTATATAATTGGCAAGTAGTAGAGAAAATGGCATGGACAAATCTATCAAATATAATACCTTCCAAAGTTCATCTACTATTTTAAAGTAATATAGTTCCCCAGAAAGAAGCCAGTTCTCTACATGTAGTTCATGAAAGTAATAAGATCTCTGCAGATTACATCAGGAGTAAAGAGAAGGCTTTCATCAATAGATATTATTTTCATAGTTCTCATACATTGCTGTACTGAGACAGGTTACACAAAGGTGAATTCTGCATTTGTACTCATCAAATCTAGAAATAAAAATAAAATTCTACCCAACACAAAAATAAACCAACTTTTAAAAAATTTCAAATCCAAAGCAGGCAGGTGGTTTAGTGGTTAAGATGCTGGACTCCCATATGGCCAGCCGTGGTCCAAGTTTCAGACCTGGATACTTGACAGCCACGCTGGGTATGTGTGCATGTGTGCCCAAAATCCCAAGAGAAGAAAGAAGGAGAAGGGATTATGGCATGGCCACTCTTTAAAGGGGGTAATTTCTCACTTTCCTTCTCACTGTCTGTCCCTGGTGAGTGCATGCAACCTATGACAAAAAAAAAAAAAAAAAAAAAAAAAAAACTTAAGATCTCATAAATCTAATAAACCTCCTAAACAGAGAAGTTACTTGAAATTAGAAACATAAATGTAAAACTCATACTGCAATCCCATTTTTCTTTTTTTTTTTAATAAAAAAGACACATTCATTCAGCATCATGATCAGACTATTACATTTAGCAATCAACAGCATGGGTGCAAAAAAAAAAAATCTGCATTAAAACCCTTTGTTGGAATGCTTTACACTTTCCACAGAACAGAACTCAAATAACCTGTTACACAATTAGTCACAAATACAGTCCTCGTACTTTTTGCCCATATACATGAGTATTGTCTAAAACATGTCTTCTTTGTAGCAGCTCGGCCCTGCCACCACTGTGCTTGGCAAGTTCACAAATCTGTTGTAACCTGTAGCTTCTCTGTCACTGGCTCTCCTCTCCTGCTAGCCTTTGTTTCCTGGAAGTTAATTAAAACCTTCTGCCACTGCCATAGCCACCTTGATTTCGTGGTTTGGCAAAGTATTGGCCTCCACCTCCATAAGTGCCAGAGCTTCTGCCTCCAAAGTTGCCACTCTTCATGGGTCCGAAATTTGAAGACTGATTGTTATAATTGCCAAAATCATTGTAGCTTCCACCACCTCCAAAATTGCTTCCATCATTGGGAACCAGCTGTTAGCGTAATGGCTATGTCGCTGGACTCCCACGTAGTCGACCGCGGTTCGCGTCCCGGAACCAGTGGCTTAAAACTCACACAGGGCGCATGTGCGTGCATGCCCAAGATCCCGAGAAGAGAATGGAGGAGAAGGGATTGCGATTACCAAATCCATTATAGCCATCCCCACTTCCACCATATCCACCACCAGCACGGCTGCCACCAAAGCCACCATGACCACTGAAGTTTCCTCCGTGACCAAAGTTGTCATTACTACCATTCACAGTATGGTATTTCTGAATGACAATCTTATCCACAGAGTCATAATCATCAAAGGTTACAAAAGGAAAGCCCCTCTTCTTGCCACTGCCTCGGTCAGTCATGATTTCAATCACTTCGATTTTACCATACTGTTCAAAATAATCTCTCAGGTGATGTTCTTCAGTGTCTTCTTTAATGCCACCAACAAATATCTTTTTCACAGGTAAGTGGGCACCTGGTCTTTGAGAATCTTCTCTTGAGACAGTCCTCTTTGGTTCCATAACTCTTCCAACCACCTTGTGTGGCCTTGCATTCGTGGCTGTGTCTACCTCCTCCACAGTGGCAGACGTGACAAACCCAAAGCCCCTGGAGCGCTTGGTGTTTGGATCTCACATTACCACGCAGTCTGTGAGCGTTCCCCATTGCTCAAAATGGCTCCTCAGGCTCTCCTCGGTTGTTTCAAAGCTCATCCCTCCGATAGAGTTTCCGCAGCTGTTCCGGCTCTTTGGGAGACTCCGACTTAGACATGACGGCAATGGGAAGAGAGAGTTCAACGATGCTTCCCCAGGGGCATCCACAGACAGAAAGGAGTAATCTAATGAATGTATCTCCCATTTCCCATTAAACAATAGAAATGTAAATTTAATATAATAGAATAAAATGTATACCAAAATGTCTGACTGCAGCAAATGAAAATCAGAAATAAAATTTTCAACCCCAAAATAAATCACTACACATCTTAATTCTGCTTTAATCTACCTACTGGATGTTTAATAGCTTCACAGAGCGACAGGAAATATTAGACTACCATTATTGCCCAATGGCAAGAGACAGACTTAGCCCCTTCAATAATTTGTGGTTCTATAAAAAGATGTGATATTTGGGAAACACTGTGGTCTCTGTTGTATCATTTAGAAACAGATCCAACAGCAACTGCACAGTCATTTAATTTCACTTTTCTTAATGCTTTACAATTTATTCTTTTGTTTTTATTTTGTTTTGTTTTTTACATTTTTGCCAGAGGGTGCATATTATGCGTGCCCAAGAAAGAGGGGCAGAAGGAACAAGAAAGAAAGCGTTATGGGGCATAGCCACACTGTAGTGTTTTCTCCTCCATTTCTCCCTCCTTTTGGGGATTTTGACACAAAAAATCTTAAAACCACATAATCCAATAAGCCTCTTAAGTAGAGAAGTTAACTGAAACACACCCTTTAGGGTGATGTTTCTCTCTTTCTCTCTCTCTCTCTCTCTCTCTCTCTCTCTCTCTCTCTCAGTCATGGAAGAAATAAGTAAACTGAAAAAAAAAATCCTACCATTTCTTGAAGATTTGTATGATAGGCACTGTGGTAAATGTTTTACATATATTTTCTTAATTGTTTTAGTCTCCACAATAGTTTTAGGAAGTGGCTATTACAGCCCATTTTATACCAAAAAACTATGATCTAGAGGAAGTTGATAATAGCTAATCAGTAACAGAACCAGGATTCAAACCCAGGAATCTCTGACTGCCAAACTATGTCCCACCAGAACATCATACTGCCACCAAGGAACCAACAGGCTAATATTGTTCAAAATGTAGTCCTCAGATCACCTGCATCAGAAGTACTGGTGTGCTTATTTAGAATGCATGTCTTCAGGCTCTACTCAGGTTCTTTTGAAATCACTCTCTTTGAAATGGAGCCTGTATTTAAAATAAGTGATTCTATTCAGATGATTCTTCTGCATACTAATTTTAAAGCCTAATATTCAGTTTACAATTTGTCTACCTGCATTAATTCAGTATCTAATGAATGCCCACTATGTACAAGTCACGCTAGGCTGGATACTATTGGATATTATTGTATAAAATATTTTGTTTCCAATTACAAGCATGGGACTTGACAATGAAATTCATACAAATATCTATAGCACAGAACATTCTTGAAATCTATGAGATCCTGCCTTAACTGCTATAACTGATGCTCTGTAATTGCCCTTCATTATGTATGTATGAGTATATTATCTTTATCACACAGATTGTGACTCTTTTGGGGACTTGTATTCATACTGGAAAGCAGTACCTTGGTGAAACTTTTGGTCAAGCAGGGGGCAGACCATTAGCTAAATAACCAGACAAATGTAAATAATGCAACTAATCAGACAAATGTAGTAAATGGAAATTATACTGTGATACATGATATATGAGTGCACTTGGCTATGTGAACTTATGAAAAAAGAAATTTGGGCTGGCCACAGAAATCAAGGAAAGCTTCCCTAAGGAAGCAACTTTTGAACAAAGATCCAAAAGATATGCTAGCACTAACTAGGTGAGTTGGGAGGAAAGAGAAGGAAATATTCAAGAAAAGGACACAGCATGTGGAAATATATTAATGACAGATGGGTACATGGGAAAAACAAAGGATTGATAAACTGGAGTAAAGAGAATTTAAAGGAGGTAAAGACGTCATCAGGGGTCAAATGGGCCAGGGCCTTGCAGGCCATATAAAGAATTTTATCTTCATCCTAAGAAGCAATGGCAAAGCAATGCAGGGATGTATATTCTCCATTTGTTCTGCCCCACCCTCAGACTCGTTCTCCAGTTAGAATCCTGGGAGACTAACCCCACGAACCACATTACCTGGGCTCCTTGTCAGGTTTCTTTTTGGATTTGACTAAGGGATGCAGCTGAAGGGTCCCTATTCTAGTTAAGAGTTGCATACCTGAACAGCTATGGCTTCTGTCCAGCAGGCTCTCCTCTAAAGGCTGAGGTTCCAATAACTCTTTTTCATCCTCTTGTCCCTTCAGGACTGAGTATAGTGGTGCCTTCCTGCTGTTGCTGGTTGCTGGGTACCCCAGAACTTCTTAACCCTGCTCACACTTCTGAAGTCCTTTGCTCTGAGTGGAACTGTTTCCTGCTAGAACCATAAGGAATATAGTATTATTCAATCTCTGGGTTATAGTAAAAAGATATGTACAAAGTGACATTCAAGAATATCCGATAACCAAATACAGACTACAGACTGACTTACTATAGTCATAAAATATTCTATGGATTTTTTTTTTTTTTTTTTTTTTTTTTTGCTTCTTAACTATACTATTACTTCATTCTTACTGGTTGGACTTCTTCATTATTAAAAGATTCTTGGAGGACTATAAGCATTACAACTCAATACAAAAGGGCTTCTTGCCATCTAAAGGCCTTCATAATATAGACATAAAAAGCATGGACTTGGGAACCAGCAGTTAGCGTAATGGCTATGTCGCTGGACTCCCACGTAGTCGACCGCGGTTCATGTCCCGGACCCGGTGGCTTGAAACTCACGCCGGGCGCGTGTGCGTGCGCGTGCGTGCCCAAGATCCCGAGAGGAGAATGGAGGAGAAGGGATTGCGACGTGGTCATCCCCCCTGGGGGGTGATTTCTCGCTTTCTGTCTCTATGTCTCTCTCTGTCTGTCTGGCGAGCGCACACGCCCTACAGTGAAAATCTCTCCAAAAAAAAAAAAAGCATGGACTTGGGGACTAGCAGGTGGCATGGTGTTTGAGGCACTGGACTCCCACATGGCCAACCACGGTTCAGGTCCCAGACCTGGTGGCTTGCTTTCTCACTCTCCCTTTCTCTCTGTCTCTCTCTGATCAAAATGGAAGAATAATGATAATAAATTAAAATTAAAAATAAACAAATCTTTTAAATTTTTTTTTATTATGCACATGATTTTTATTGAACACCTTACATAGATGTGGGATGATCTACAGGTGGGACAAGGCAGCCATAACAGCCTCAGTAAAGTCGTGGCATGTGGCATAGCCATCCATGCCATGAGTTCAGACCTGTGGGGGAAAATTATCATCCCTGTGGCCTGGGCCCCATCCCTAACAATTCCTCACCACCACCAACATACAGTTCCCTAGGGAAGCCAGCTCCAGGACAACCTAGGTTCTACCCAGAAAGGTGATTATGGTCCTCTATCTAGAGGGTCATGGTATCTTCCCTGGTCCACTGCACTGAAGGGGGGTTGTAGGTAGTATGATCCTTGTGAGGTTGGAAGGAATAAAGGGCTCTAGCTCCCATGGAGGTCTAGAAGGCCGATGACAGACTTGATGAAGTCCACTGTGGTGCTATAGCTGCCCATGTCTTGAGTTCGCACCTTGCCGACTTTGATCACCTTCTTCACAGCATCTGCAATTATGCTGGAGTGATGCTCGAGACTGAGATGCTGCAGCATGTTGGAAGCCGACAGCAGAATGGCTATGGGGTTGGCTATATTCCTACCTACTGCCTGGGCAAATGGGTGCTGGTCACCCGTCTTAAAGACTGCATACTCTGCACTGTAGTTCTCACCGGGTACCACGCCAGCTCCCCCAACCAGGCCAGCAGTCCGATTGTCGATAATGTTCCCACAGAGACTGGGCATACCCAGCACATCAAACTGGTACAGATTCTGCAGCAGTTGTCTATGATAATCGTCTCAAACTTGATTTGGGGGTACAGTTCAGCAACTTTCTCATAGTACTGCAGGAACAACCCATCTCCAAGTTTCATGATGTTGGCCTTAAGGACAGCTGTGACCTTGCTCCACCCTTTCTTGGTAGCACAGTCAAAAGCAAACTTCGCAATCCACTGAGACTTGGCTCGAGTGATGATCTTCAAGCACTCGATCATGCCCCTTACACTCTCATGTTCCAGAGAGTTGTACTCCCCTTCCATCTGCTCTCGAATGATCACCAGGTCTAGATTGCTGTGCAAGTCATGTACCCAGGAAGTGACTTCACGTGGACCACATTGGCAAACAAATCCAATTTACATCTTAGCTGCATATCACAGGAGGCTAGCTCTCCCTTATATTCCATCAGGGTATGGATCTTTCCAATGATGGCCACCTTGTCTTCCTTCACAGAACTCAGCACCTGCTCCAGCTTCTACTCAGATGCCACATTCTTCGCCTCGCTCAGGTGGTGTTCCTGAAACTCCCCCGGGACAGCAGCTGCCTTGAATACCTCCTTGACAGTGTGCATCAACTTGGGCCCCATACCGTCCCCAAGCAGCATGGTCACTGGAAAGGCACCCTCCACCCTGACATCCTCGGCCTGGCTCCATGTGGTCGCATGCACTGCAGCCAAAGTACCCAGACCTCTCCATGGCCCAGGGTTCGTAGGCAGGGACCAGCACCGGGGTCAGCAAGTGGACACCCCTCAGCGCCACCATGTTGTCTGCAGCTAAAAAACATTTTTTAAAAAAGCATGAACTTGAATCAGCAAAATCTGGAGTTTATTCTTCACCCTACTACTTACTACGGTATGCCCATAGGTTTTTTGTATGAAATTCTTAATATTTATTTCACAGGATTTTTGTGATTATTAAATAAAAATATGTTAAAGGACGGTAGAAAAAAAGTACTTAATAAGTAGTAGCCATTACTACTATTGTACCTGTTGAATCTAGAATAAAAAGAAAATGGCAAGTTCTTAAAATTGTTCATGGTTTTTTAAAAAATACAGTAGAATATAAAGTAAAAAAAAAAAAGTCTTCATTTTTTTCTTTCACCTCTCAGTTAACTCTTCAGAGCACAGCTATCAAAAGCTGGATATTTATATTAAGAGATATTTTCTATACTATACACTGCATTTGTTGAATGAAGAAGATAAAATAACCATGATGGGAAGGAAAAGAATCAGCAGTCCTCTTTTATTTTCTGACTGAGATCATCGGAGGAGTGTGTGTGTGTGTGTGTGTGTGTGTGTGTGTGTGTCAGGACCGTTCTACAAAATTCAGACACTTTAATGTTGATGCAGTTCACCAAAAATGTGCAATTTTAAAAGTATAGTGAACAGATTCTAAAATTTTCCTATCTCTGGCTAGGGAATCACTTGAACTAATTTAGGACAAACTCCCAAATCATTGTGATCTATGACTTTATATCCTAAAAAAAAACTTTCATGTATTTTTCAAATGACATACTGAGTTATTTTTATAAGTAATTTCTCTGAATTGCTCTAATCCTTCTATGAAATAAAGCATGCCCCCATGTACCAGCAAGTAATGAGAATGCTACTTGGGGAAAATGTAGTGACTACATAAATTGTTAAATTTACACTATGTGATTTCCTGAGTCAAACTACTAGAAGATACTTCTACAAATACCAGAATCTTTCTCTTTCAGACCTTTTTGCAGTCTAAGGACACTGGCTAGCCCTGAAATCCGGTCACTTTCTCTCCGTTAGTATACTTTCACTCCCTCTGGGCATGGAGAATTTGGAAAACTCTCCATTCCAGGTCCACTGGCCAGCCTTCTTGTTTTCCTGAGTCCCCAGTCTTCTGAAGGTGTTTGATGTCCCAGACACCTTCAGAAAGCATATGTTGTACTGCAATATTTTATGAACAAGGACAGAAAAATCCTGAATATTGTATTTTATATCTCGGCTGAAATAGTTCATGTCAAAGAAACTACCTGTGCTATAAATACACACACACACACACACACACACACACACACACAAAATTCTTCCCTAAAAAGGGATAGGCTTCCCTTGAACACTAAGTAAATAAATAAATAAAATAATTATTATAAGGTAGCAAATGATATAAAATTTGATTTTATTGCTGCATTTAAAATGTATTTTATAAAAAAAATTTTATGTATGTGTTTGTACTTTAATAAGTTAGATATTGTGTACAGAGCATGTATTTTACTATATGATCAAATCACACTGCTACCTGTGATACATTATGTAAAAAATACACAGTTTACAAATATGGATTAATAATCACATAGATATTTCAGAATATTTTATATGCTAATTCTATATGATCAAATTAAACATGTAAACTGACTAATGTAAAATTTTTAGAACATCTGGCAATGAAACTATTGTATTTTGGGGGGGGGAGAGATTTTTGCTATAGGGCGTATGTGCTCATCAGGAAGACAGAGAGGCAGAAAGCGAGAAATCACTCCCTGGGGGGATGGCCACACCGCAATCCCTTCTCCTCCATTCTCTTCTCAGGATCTTGGGCACGCATGCACACGCACCCAGCGTGAGTTTAAGCCACCGGATGCGGGACTCAAAAAGCGGTCAACTACATGGGAGTCCAGCAATGTAGCCATTACGCTATCTGCTGGTTCCTACTATTGTATTATTTTTATGAACATAAAACATTTCATCATCACCAGAAACATTCTCTACATTTTTTTTTTAGTCACACATTTTTGTTTGACTAAAAAACAGGGGCCAGCAGATAGTATGGTAGTTAAGGTGCTGAATTACCACATGGCTGACCATGGTTCGAATCCTGGACCTGACTGCTTCAAATCATGGTACATGTCTGCCCAAAGTCCCTAGAAGAGAATGGAGAAGGGATTGTTGATGTGGCCATCTCCCTGGGAACTGATTTCTCACTTTCTCTTTCTCACTGTTTCTCTCCAGCAAGCACATGCACCCTATGGGGGCCGGGGGGGAGGCGGGGGAAGAACCTTAAAAAAATTTTTTTAAAGTGGTTGGTGAATATTTTTATAAAAAAAGCTATACAGGATTAAAAGAGACCTCTTTGCCAACATTCAGTCCAAAAGGAATTTCTAACTACAAAGACTTATTTAAATTACAAAGACATGTTTTACTTTTTAGTTTCTCAAGGTATTTCATAATAACATAAACTAGAGATACAAGCTAGAAAGTAGAGGGGGGAAAGACACTATCTTGAAGGCTATAAAAGAAATGATGTATCTTCGACTTTTACTCCTTTCCCCAATCAAAACAAACTAACTAAAAAATCTATTTGTGCTTATTTGTTTGTTATTTCATTCTCTTTTACAAAGTGCTAACCCTGATAGCTTGTTTTAAACTTTTACCCATGGAGCATCACTTAGGAGTTGTAACAAAGGAATCTGTCATTCTCTCAATGATCTCTCTCTGCAAACAGC